GGTCTACTAGAGATCGAATCTCGATGGCAAAAAACGAGTTATGTAGTGTTTTTTTGTTAGACTCAATTTGGGTGATGATGATCTTGGAGAGATCTGATATTTCTCCTTTATGTCTTCGAATTATTTTTCAAATTAGCTTCTCTTCATATGATTTATATCGACATGGTTGAGGAGAAAAGTGGAGACTTGCAAGTTAGGATTATCTCGGATTAGGATTTTCGAAGGGGATAAAATGGTAGACAAGCAAGAAGGAAGGTGAGAGGTTAGTTTCTCGCATTTCCTTACTATTTTGTGCTTCTTCAATCGTTAATTTCGATGTTGATTTTTACAAATTTGGGTTTTTGTGTTACTAATCTTGTGAGGACTAAGATGGCTCCGGTTGGTTTTCGATCCGGTGATGCGATCTTCTCTAGCATTGATCGTGTGGTAAGTTTCTGATTTCAAAGAATCTCCTTTTTATGGTCCTCTTGATTTATCTTTTTTCGACTCTGATAAATAGATTTTGGAATTGACATGCTTCATTGGTGTCGAATCTGTTAGTGTAATTTTGTAAGGGTTTTGAGAAGTAAACTTGAAACCAATTCTGAATCTTGATTCAATTTCTGTTTGATGATCTCTTGGAATCTGTAGAATGCGGAGTTTTTTACTTTGACGTACGGTGCAATTGTGCGTCAATTGCTTACTGTGAATTACATACCTCACATGAAGTGGTTCTTTCTCGTTAATTGTTACTAAAAACAGAAGAACTAAACTACTTATCATTATTCCTAATTAATTCATGATGGGTAGTGTCTCTGATGCCAATATGCCACATCGTTGTTTCATACACACTGTATAAACTCACAGTTGCCTCTCTTTTGCACTCTCTTTGTGTTACCCCTAATGTTTTATCTTTTGATTTTTTGTTGTTCTCCTGCAACCTTGCGCTAACTCCCTATGTTCAAATAGATTGCAAGTCGTGACTTATATTTATTTGTAACTTCTTTTGGGAAAATTGCAGATTCTAGAGTTGGTGAATAATTTACGGATATTCGAGTACTTTAATTGTTTGATGAAAATGATTAAGATTGGTCAAGTTTTGATCGATACACTTTGCCGCTTTTTGACCCCAAAAAGATAACACTTTGCGGCTATATATGCACTTAACCCTAGATTTTTCAGTTTCATTTAGAGAACAAAACTCACATCTTCTCCTAACTGCGGCTTCGTCTCCGACTTAGCTCCACTTGCCCCTGCGTCTTCCGTCTGTCATTGACGGTAACTCAGTGCCTCCGATCTCTTTATAGTCTTAGATTTGAGGTTATGTAATAGTCTCAGATTTGATGCTGGGGTTTTGTAATAGTCTTAGATTTAGGGTTTTGTAATAGTCTCATATTTGATGTTGGGTTTTTATAATAGTCTTAGATTTGGGGTTGTGTAATAGACTAGTAAAACGTGTTCTATCAAACGTATTTTTGTGCTAACCGTGTGTTTTGATTTTATCTATCAATTAGATTCTTGTGCTAACGTGTTCATGTGCTAACTATTATAGTTTACAATTAAAAAAAAAAACTTAAGACTATCTAAAACAAAAACACTTCTATGCTCTGTTTTGTACGCGTACAAAGAACATAGTACGAGATATTTACTAAGTCTATGATCTATGCTCAAGCCAGAAAATCATTAACACCTCTA